TATCGGCCAAAGATTAGAAGAAGGAATCAAGAATGGTAAAGTGTCTAAAGCTGCTGAATCTTCTAATGGTGCAAAGGAATTCCTTGGGAACTTTCAGAAGAAGAAAGAGGTAGAAGCAAATGCTATCTCAACTGAGAGAAGAGGACCTCACCGTAGGCCTCAATACATTGATCAATCACAAGTAGCAGTTGTTACTCCTGCGGTTAATGCTCAACTAGTTCAGGTTCCTCAACAACAGAATTTTGCACAGAATCAGAATCGGAATAGGGCTCAGTTTGATTCCATCCCTATGACATACACTGAACTGTATCTTGCATTGGTGCAGAAGGGCTTGATTACAAATAGGCCTCTGATTCCTCGAAATCCTCCTCCAGCCGGGTTCAGATCTGACCTTCACTGTGAATTTCATCAGGGAGTTGCCGGTCATGATTTAGAGAGCTGCTATGCATTGAAAAACAGAGTGAAAGAATTGGTGAAAGCAAATATTCTCATTTTCAAAAAGGCAGGTCCTAATGTTGTCAACAATCCTTTGCCAAAACAAAGTGGCTGAAGACTGAGTCGGGGTACCCTCAAGTCACTTCCTAAAGCCAGTGTTTCAGACATGACAACTCATACTTGTTACTGATTAGTCACTAGGCCATCTTTCCTTCTGTTTGCATTTTTCCCTTGTTTGTGTTAAAATTGTTGCTTTCAAATACTGTTTATACTTTCATGTTAATTCTAATGAAGTGAGCATTGCAATATTTTGATTCAAATCATTTTCATTTACTTCTTTCAAATATATTTCTCTTATTTACTCTCTTTATCAAGCTTTTGTTTACGTAAAGATTTGAGGTAGGATGATGAAAATGAAATACCCATAATTGTTGCTGGTATGCTTTCGAATAAAACTTTGCTGAGGATATACATGCATTATTTCACCTCCCAAACATTGGAGAAATAAGGAAGTTAATCCCTCGTTCACCCCTTCGAGCCTAGAAGTTGGAGTTTATTTCTATACGAAAAAACTCGCAATATTAACCTGGGGATGGGTAGTTCTCAGTTAATTTGGTTGTGCATTCAATTACAAGAGAAATAGTGCAAGACACCTTTCAACAAAGGTCGTGATCAAGCTTTCCTTTGCATACAGCAAGAAGTGTCAAAGATGATCTCAACCAAAAATGACAAAGATGGTTCCCCGTAACATTGAGCAAGGTAGTCACTATCTTCCCAAAAAGAAAAATGAAATGAAAAGAAAAATCAAAAGAAAAGTCCCGCTAAGTCAAAACCTCTGAAGGAGACTTGGGCAAAAAACTGGGGCATCCCACTGACTGTAATTCCAAATGAAACAGTTCAGGCAAAAAAATTGGGACATCCCGCTGACTGTAATTCCAAATGAAACAGTTCAGGAAAAAGTTGGGAATAATAAATTCAATCATAAGAGGTCTTCAAATCCTCAAAATTCTCCACCAGAGTTGACAAAATTCCTCAAAACAACAAAATGATGTAAGAAGAAGTGACTGCCGTCTCAAAAATTCCTTAGCTTCTGAACCATCGTCATTATTACCATCAGTGCAATTCCAAAATCTCTTGGAACCTGAATGCATATTCTGAATTAACTAAACGTAGGGCTGAAGAACATCATGAAGATTGGGTTGGGTACAAATAAACTTTGAGCCTTTATCCTTTATTTCTTAAACCATGAACCAGACCATGTTACAACCCTCAAAAGACCTAATTGAAGCCAGGTTTCTTTTGAAAGCATACTACAGCAAGGTTGCGTAAACTGACTCCTATGATCTTTTGCGAACCATTTATTTTGGTATCATACCTTTGTTTTCACTTTAAAATTATAAACCATTGTGTTTTAACCAGTGATGCATTTTCTATACACCAATAACATCATTTTAAAAATGATTTTGGATTAAAAACTTTTGCATGAATGTTTCATTAAAATTACCATGTTTGAATAAACAATTTTGCTTGCAAACAAGCTTTCCTCGTCAAGGAATTTCAAACAGTTGAGAAACTTGGTCAGTGATCTTATCAGGGGAAAGTATCTTCCAGATCCATTTATGAATCAGTTCAAGATTTGTTGCTTAGTACAAGTTTTCTCAGAATTGGTTAGCCAAAAGATCATTTTCAAGACTCATACTGGGGCATTCCTTTCCAACAGTCATTTTAGAAACTGAAGCCATGATCAGTTTATTCCAACAATTATCTCAAGAACTGAAGCCATGATCAGTTTATTTCCCACAAACATCTCAAGAACTGAAGCCATGATCAGTTTATTTCCCACAAACATTTCAAGAGCTGAGGCCATGATTAGTTTATCTCCAATAGTCATTTCAGAGTTGAAGCCATGATCAGCTCATTTCCAGCAACTTTCAACTGAAGCCATGATCAGTTTATCTTCAACTGTCAGCTAATCTGGGACAAATCCCCAAACAGGTCTCCAGTGTTTCCTCAGAAGATCATCAGTTCAATACAGCTTACAAGTGTGACAAATTTGGGCTCAAGACATTTTCTTTCCAATCAAATTTGGAAGAGTTCACTACGCCGAAAAAGACTTACAAAAGCGCTTTTTTTGGCCTTTAAAAGCGCTTTCGTAGGTGGCGCTGCTATAGGTTTTAACAGTGCTTTTTGTTTAATGAAAAGCGCTTTCGTAGGTCTACCTAATACAACACTTTTTCTAAAAAGCGCTCTCTTAAGTAGGCTTTTGGCAGCGTTTTTTTATGAAGAAGCGCTTTCATAGTTCTACCTAAGGCAACGCTTTTTTCTGGAAAAGCGCTCTCATAAGTTTTCTTTTAGCAGCACTTTTTTCTAGAAAAGTGTTGTCTTAGGTAGGCTTTTAGCAACGCTTTTTTCTGGAAAAGCGCTTTCGTAGGTGGTCTTTTAGTAGCGCTTTTGGCTGGAAAAGCGCTGTCATATGTTTACTTTAGACAGCGCTTTTTGTGAAAAAGCGCTTCCATAGGTTACCTAAGGCAGCGTTTTTCTTGAAAAAGCGCTTTCATAGGGTGTTTTTTTTAGAGGTATAATTTATATAATTCATATACCTGCATTGTTTGCAGCATATTATTTATATAAACCAGTTGCCATAACCTGTAATTCATAAACCGCGATAATGCATTGTATACCATTGTAATCCAAAATGTATATACACCATTTTTGTACCTCAAAATATATAAAAACCATTGTTATCAGCATTGTAACTCAAAACCAGTCTTACAAAATCAACCCTAACAACAACTAAACCAATCCTAATGTATGAAAGAAACACGGTCAATTATGTATTAAGGTCCTGGTCCTGCGAGGTTTGAACATAATAACACGGTCAATATGGTATTCCATGTACACATGTAACGTATTCAGAACACTTTTCACATAATAATGTATTCATACCTTATATGATTCTCTGCTCAATAAAATATTGACACAATTCCTCTTCGATTTCTTCCAACTGAAGTTTCGTGTAATATGCACATTTGTATTCATCGAAGTACTACATAACAAAACATAATATGCATGATTTAGTTAAAAGTAAAAAATTATATGAAATATCCGAGAAATAATAAAATAAATCCTAAGTTATAAATCCATATCGTGACTGGAATCTCTATTTGATTCAATTGAAGGATTTCTTTGATAAACCGCATAACGAAGTATCTGCAATCTATATCGTTTTGTTGTTGAGGACACTACATAGAAAAACAAATAAGAATATATAGTTGTATTGTTTTATCAAATAGCATAAATATTATAAGCAAAATAGTGGAAATTAATATACCTGCACTTTGATCCAATTAATGTTGTTTGATTTAGACCGTCGTACCCGAGCTTCTCTTTGACACCTGAATACTTGTATCGCTCTAACAAAATAAAAATATATATTTAGAACAATGTCACAGAAATAATTAAATATATAAATACACACAAATATTTAGAATAATGTCACTTACGTATCAATCATTAACTTCATATCCGGATAATTTGTCCAATCACCGTCAACCGAATTCAGATAATAGACCACTTCTTTTATAGGATCGATAGCAACCAACAACTAGTGACGTCTATAAATTAAAACAACAGTTTAGAAGAAAATTTTCTACGCAAAAATTACAAATATTAAAATGAACTTAGAATGAAAATCTAACCCTGTAGGAATAGTATTATACGCCCAAAGATATAAGCTTTTTGTACTTCCAGTTGCCATGAATCTTTCGACTAAGTGCTCTCTTACTGAATCCGGTTCCCTACCAATTATCGCTCCGCTGACACGGGAGGAAGACATGACATGGAATTTGTTTGACAATTGATTCCCGCGCATCAATTTGTCATATAACAACCTTAAATAAAAACTTAATTAATATTAGACTATATTCATTGAAATGTTTAAAAAAAATTTCAGCTAATTACATAATATAAAGATGGGGTTACCGGATGTATGCGTGCATAATACTGACGCCTAATTCTTTATGACGGAAAATCTCTTCCACGTCCTCATGTCCAATTATTTCGGTGCAAGGAAAACCAAAGATACCTTGATCCATATCCATTTGATGAATACCACCATCCATCAAATTTGTTGTTCCCACTATTGTTTCAAGACACTGCCGGTATCGAGGGAAAAATCTAGTAGGAACCCTTTTCTTGGGTGGTACGCCAACAATTTTCTGGCTCACTTGTTGTGACCCTTGAAAAGGTACCTAAAAATCATATAGACTCAGTTAAATTATAAAATTATGCAGTTTTTTATTCGGATCATATAATTAACACTTTAAATGTACCTCTTTTTGTGATACATCAGACTCGTCGTGCAGCAAAATCCCTTTACCCTTAGATGCAGGTTTTGTAGGAGTCTATAATTACCGTGGAAATAACTGAGGTCTGAACTGACAGTTGAAGACTTAAAGATTCATAATGGTTTTCAACATACCTGATCATCTATGAAAATGAGGTCCGATGGCCATGCAACAAAAGATCCTATTGCATCTCGCAGCAATGTGGTCTCAACAACAATGTTAGGTACCGGCACTTGATACCAGTGACTGCAAACATTGACAGCGTTGAAGCATAAGATTTTTTGTTGGTGAGATATTAGACTAGAAAATCTGGTCCAACAGTTCAGTTTCATAGATTTTGAATACAAATAATGCATGGTAGCAAACTGATTTACCTGAATAAGATGTATGCGTAGTTTTCCTATTTTGCTCCATTTCAAGTATGTAGAAAAAATTTGTAATGTAATCCTACCAGCAATGTTGTTTCCTAAAATTTCCACAGAACATGAAGCACTAATATCCTGCAGGGTAAGCGAGAAAAATGGATCACAAACTAAGATACATGCTTATTAGTTTTAACTCAAAGATTTCAGCAAGCTTACCACTGAGATACATGCAACGGGTATGGTCTCGCCGCCTTCTAGAACATTAATTGTTATATCCATGGAAACAGTAGCACCGATATCTTGGTAACCCACTTGTATGACTGGTGGAAAAGATGCAGAGACATTAATTTGCATGTTGTCATTTGGATATCGCTTGTATAATTGAGGAACTATGAATCTCCATCCAGAGGTGTTCAGAAGAGCCTTATCGGGTAGTTCATCGATAATCAATTGCATTTTACCTGCCTGAGCCCAAAAAAAAACTATATAAAATGATCCAACATAAGCGCCTGAATCCAATTTATCTATATAGAAACTTACGTTGAAGTAAACTAGGGAAGCAGATTTGAACACGTTTTCGTGTATTAAAACCTTTATCATCTTTGGTAAGCCACCACAGGCAGAAGAAACTTGATATCCTTTCTTGTAACTTTGAGGAACTAAGATTTGGCTTGTTCTTGTGAATAAACCATTAATTGCAACTGCAACAGAAGAATTACTCAACACAGGATTACCAACAAAAGAAACATTTAGCGCAGCAGTTTCGTCAAGGGAAATTTGCTTTGGAAGAGCTTGCAAAAAATTATCATGCTTTGTTATTCCTTCTTTTATTTTCCCTGAAATTCCTTCTTCTACTGAGGATGCTATATTCTCTTCAAAGGCATCAACTAGCCTGAAACAAGCATAAAGTAGCGAATAAATTTGAAACATAGATTTTGTATTACAGTTCTCTATGAAAGAACGCGCGAAGAATATCACTTATCAAAACATGGCTTACGAAATTTGCTTACAATTGGTAAAGCCAAGATGCTCTTCCATCCAACTTTATCGATAAATCTCCGACATAGCATCCATGATCTAAGAGATTCAACTTAAGGCGACCTTCTTTGTTCTTTAAACTTAATGTAAGCCCGACTTGCATTCCTTTAACCTTCCAAACACGGCACAACAATAAGAAATGGAGATACTATCCATTATGTGTGACACTCTCCAATATTTCTCTCTTAGCATGTTACTCTCCATTATTTCTCTCTTAGCATGTTACTTCTATGCAAAACTTCTTAATAACTTCTATGACAGTAGAAACCGTGCTTGCTCAAAATCATTAACCAAACAAAAGCACACGAAAACCAGACAAACACATACGAGATGATGAAAAAAATGAAACTTGATACGAATTGCAGTTGGTCGGAGAAGTGAAGCGCCGTTGACCGCCGTAGAAGCTCTGGTTTAGGGTTTTTTCGTGAAGAAAATCTGACTGAGAATAGAAAAGTGATACGAATTATGTTTTGATATTTATTATAAAACTAGCTACGAAAGCGCTTTTAAAAGCGCTTTCTAAAGGTCATCTATAACAGCGCTTTTACATCAAAAAGCGCTTTCGTAGCATATCCTATAGCAGCGCTTTTAAAAGTGCTTTCTAAAGACCAGCTTTAGCAGCGCTTTGGAAAAGCGCTTTCTAAGGCTGACCTTTAGCAGCGCTTTTGAAAAGAGCTTTCTTAAGGTACCCTCTGAAAGGCCAGCTTTAGCAGCGCTTCCCAAAAAGCGCTTTCTAAGGGTGACCTTTAGAAGCACTTTTGAAAAGCGCTTTCTTAAGGCACCCTTTGAAAGCGCTTTTTTAAGCGAATTTTTTTTAAAACCTATAGCAACGCTTTTTCCAAAAGAGCTTTCTTTTATGTGTTGCTAAAACTTATTTTTGGCGTAGTGGTTCTCCGTGTTAAGGAATCAAACTTTCGATCTTACCTCCACAAAAGAGTCAAACTTCATTCTCGTAAACGTCAGCATTACATGCATAGATCATTCACATATCATGTATAACAAAATCCAAACATAATGCATAACAAGAGTGTTTCATCCACATTTGCATTTCCCGGGGTCTTGTTGCAGTTGACATGTCACCTTGAGATCAAAGTCCAACTTACTTGGCACCTACCAAAGCAAACGTCAGTTCAGATGTCTCTCTTTCATCCAATGCTAATCTTGGATGAGCTGTTTCTCTCTTCCGTCTAATGCTAATCTTGGATATGTGGTCTCTTTTGTTTCCATCCAAAGCCAATATTGGATGTTGTTATCTTTGTTGTTGTTCAAAGCCAGTATTGGACGCCATGCTTTTTTTCCCTTCATTCAAAGCTAGTATCGAATGTCAAGATCTCTTTTTCCATCCAAATCCAGTATTGGATGTTGTACCTTCTCCTTCATTCAAAGCCAGTATTGAATGTCAAGATCTCTTTTTCCATCCAAATCCAGTATTGGATGTTGTTACCTTTTCTACCGTCTAAAGCCAGTATTGGACGCCTTGAGTTTTCCACTCATCTAAAGCCAGTATTAGATGTTGTGATGTTTTCTCCTGTCTAAAGCCATAATTAGACGTTGAGATTTCCATTCATTCAAAGTCATTATTGAATGTCAGAATCTTTTGTTGTCGTTCAAAGCCAGTATTGGACGGCTTGAGCTTTTCCACTCATTCAAAGCCAGTATTGGATGTTGTGATCTTTTCTCTCGTCTAAAGCCATTATTAGACGTTGAGCTTTACTTTCATTCAAATCCAGTATTGAATGTCAAGATCTCTTTTTCCATCCAAAGCCAGTATTGGATGTTGTTACGTTTTCTGTCATCCAAAGCAAGTATTGGACGTCTTGTTTTTTTTCCCTCACCCCATCCAAAGCCAGTATTGGATATTGTGATTGTTTCTCTTGTCTAAAGCCAGTATTAGACGTTGAGTTTTCCCTTCATTCAAAGCCAGTATTGGATGTCGTGTTTCTTTCCCGTTCAGCGTCTTTCCTGGACGACTCTAATGTAGCTTCAGATTTGGTCTCATCCCACATCTATTGTTCTTCTAGATGATTCTGATTGCCTTTTCCAGAGAGTTGCTCGCCTCATTTAATGCAATTCTTGGATGTCTCTGCTTGCCTTCTCGAGTTTTATCTCTTTTTTCCAAGTATTGATGGTTACTCTTTGTCGCCCTGACAGATATCTGGAAGTATCTTGTTGTTTCCCTAGTGTGCCTTTCCACGTCATTTCACCTGAACTACCACAAGTTTCCAGTTTCGAGTCTTTCCATATTCCCACAAAGTATGCCTCATCTCATACATCATTCAAAAATATATATGTCAAAAAAAGAGTCCATGCATTCATTCATAACATATGCTATCATCTCATCGCATCAGGGACAAAGTTCAGGTATGTTTGTATTTAATTCCTTTCCGCCTATCTGGCTAAAAGATAATTAAATAGGGGCAGCTGTTGTACCCTAAATTTTGCCCCAAACATTTTCAGTCGCACTTTCATACCATATTTTGTCATTCAGTCACAATCATTAATAAATAGCTTCATTCATCACATTTGCATCCTATCTTTAAGTTTGCTCTTGTGTTATTGACTAATTTCTAATCAAAATACAAAAAATATTTGTCTTTGTCTTTGCATATTTGTGTTTTGTAGGTACCGAGTTGAAGCATATGGCAAATAAGGTTTTCCGGTATTATTTCCCTAAAATCTCTATTTGCAAAGAAAAAGAATTAAAAAAATTTCATTTTTTTCACTGTATAATCGATTGCTCCTAGAGTGCAATCGATTTCACAAAGTGCATTTTGCATAATTTTTGAAAAAATACACTGTGCAAATTGATTTTAACTGTAGTGCAATCGATTGCACAACGTGAAAATTTGAAAGAAAAAAACAGCATTTCAAGCTTGTCAAATTTTTGGCTCCAATTTGGCTCTAATTTTTGAAAGAATTATCATTAACTCAAATTTTGGCTCCAAGAATCAATTACCAAATTACCACTAATCCCAATCCTAAACTCTATAAATATAGCCTTCATTTCATTCAAATTTCAAGCTTTTGATAGCCAAATCCACCTTGCTAAAAAATCTCTCGATTCTCTCCATCTACCAAATTCACTCAAAGCTTCATTTTCAAGAAAAGTTAGTAAGCTTTGCATTGAAGCTTACTAATCTTTGAGCTAAACCTTCATCCAAACACTTTTTATTCATCAATTCTCTACATCCAAGCTTGGCAATTGATTCTTGTGGTTGAATTGAAGCAAATTCTTAAAGTTGTGTTGATAATTCTCTAGATCTACCTTTGGTAAGTTGGATAATTCATCTTTCACAATGTGATCTCTTGGTGATCTTCGGGATTGATTCATTGAGCATTGTTTTTTGATTCCATTGGAGCTATTTTATCATAATTTTATGGAATTTTCATGCTTAATTGAATCCATGATCATAAGGTGTTTGATGGAAAGTTTGAACAAGAAATTAGCCTTTTAAAATGTTGTTTTGCTGACTGTAACAGCGTGTAATCGATTGCAGTAACAGTGCAATCAATTGCACAAAAGCAATTTCGCGCAGATTTTTGAAAACTGTATTGTGTAAATCGATTTACACAGTAGTGCAATCGATTTACACAGGGACAAAATGCATTTTTTTGACTTGTTTTGGGGCAGCTTTGATCCAAAATGTTTTTTCTACTCACTCCTTTTGATTGTTGGTTTGGATTGCAATTTTAAATGTCCAATTTCTCTTTAAACTCAATGGACTTTGTGATGTAGATGAAGTTGGATAAATGTTCATCAATTCAAATCTACCTAAGAGTGAATTATTTAATTCATTTTTGGTGCTTTGGATTAATGATATGTTTAGTGCTTTAATCCATCTAGAGGAGTGGTTGAATTTAAAGATGAAAGAATTTTGAAGTGGTAATCCAAATTAGCTTATCATTCCCCTCCCTCTTCATCGTATCCATTTCTTTTTTAATTGTGCTACATGTTAAGGGATGGTGATCTCTATATCATTTATCCAAACATGAAGTACATAGATTGTTATTGACCGGCCTCAAAATAGGTGCGACTTCTACATAAATCCACTTACGATTGCTTAACATAGCGCTAAAGTTTGTCCCGATTCGGATAAATGATCATTCGTGGCCCAAACTTATAATTGCAAGCCCAAGTATGTTAATTTGATCTCTTTGATCCAATAACTTTGAGATTCATTGTGTGGAGGCTTTGGTTCTACCAATCCTATAATGGATCTGCAACACCTTTGGTCAACGCGGATCACTTGAACATCGTTGATCTCAAATATTTATTGCTACATTTCTATTTCATATAATCATTGTCGCGATTGAGCGCCAAGAAAAAGTGTGCGACACCAGTAATATTATGGTGAGGGCCTTCGATGGTTCCAAGAGAATGGTGCACGGGGAGGTGGACATCCCTATCAAAGTTGGTACTCATACTTTTGACTCCACTTTCTATGTGATGGACATCCTCCCATCTTTCTCCTGCTTATTGGGATGCCCTTGGATTCATGGGGTCGGTGCTGTTAATTCTACTTTGTATCAAATGTTGAAGTACCCAGTTAACAGAAAGATTATCACAGTCCATGGCGAGGAAGAATACATGGTGAGCCACCTAAACTCTTTCAGGTGTGTAGAGATGTTCGACGAGTTCATTGAGACCCCCTGTCAGAACTTTGAGGAGGTTCCACAGGCAGTTGCTGCAACCAAGACTGCTACTAGTGTTCTGAAGATTACCAGACCTCTGTTGAAGATGGCTTCTCTGAAGGATGCCAAAGCAGTAGTCAAGGAAGGTGGGTGTACCATTTGGGGAAAACTCCGTGATATCCCTTACAAATCTGACAAATTTGGTTTGGGTTTTACTTCAGGGACCCAAAGAGATGTTCTTCGTGCTTGCGTCGGGGGACCACCACTACGCATCAACAACCATGCGTCGTGTTATTGGAGCATGATCTCTATATCATGTCTCGAAATAAATGGTGCATAGATTGCTATTGACCAACCTCAAAATAGGTGCGACTTCTACATAAGTCCACTTACGATTGCTCAACATAGCGCTAAATTTTGTCCCAATTCGAATAAATGATCATTCGTGGCCCAAAACTATGTTTGCAAGCC